GTGTGTGCAAATGTGGCTACGTTCACCGAAACATGGAAAAAGCCATAACAACAGAAGTACTGCTCTGCCAAGTGACCTCAAATCAGATCATAAAACATGTTACAACTAATTATCATTCTTTTAAAACAGTAAGTATTATATGTAAGTATAAATATACACATGTTGGGTGAAGGGGCCAAACAGAAAACAAGTCGCTCTTGTAGTAGTGCCCGTACTTTCTCAGCAATCACAGTAGCAGTAGTAGTAGTAGTAGTAGTAGTAGTGGAAGTATTGGGAGTAGTAGTAGTAGTAGTAGTAATAGAAGTAGAAGTAGTAGTGAAAGTAGTGGTAGTAGTATTAGTAGTAGTAGTAGTAGTAGTAGTGGAAGTATTGGGAGGAGTAGTAGTAGTAGTAGTAGTGGAAGTATTGGGAGTAGTAGTAGTAGTAGTGGAGTAGTAGTAGAGGTAGTAGTAGTAGTAGTAGGAAGTAGTTGGGTAGTAGTAGTAGTAGTAGTAGTGGAAGTATTGGGAGTAGTAGTAGTAGTAGTAGTGGAAGTATTAGTAGTAGTAGTAGTAGTAGTAGTAGTGGAAGTATTGGTAGTAGTAGTAGTAGTAGTAGTAGTAGTAGTAGTAGTGAAGTATTAGTAGTAGTAGTAGTAGTAGTAGTAGTAGTAGTGGAAGTATGGTAGTAGTAGTAGTAGTAGTAGTAGTAGTAGTAGTAGTAGTAGTGGAAGTATTGGGAGTAGTAGTAGTAGTAGTAGTAGTAGTGGAAGTATTAGTAGTAGTAGTAGTAGTGGAAGTATTGGGAGGAGTAGTAGTAGTAGTAGTGGAAGTATTGGGAGGAGTAGTAGTAGTGGTAGTGGAAGTATTGGAGGTAGTAGTAGTAGTAGTGGAAGTATTGGGAGTAGTAGTAGTAGTAGTAGTAGTAGTAGTGGAAGTATTGGGAGGAGTAGTAGTAGTAGTAGTGGAAGTATTGGGAGTAGTAGTAGTAGTAGTAGTAGAAGTAAGTAGTAGTAGTAGTAGTAGTGGAAGTATTGGTAGTAGTAAGTAGTAGTAGTAGTAGTAGTAGTGGAAGTATTGGTAGTAGTAGTGTAGTAGTAGTAGTAGTAGTAGTAGTAGTAGTAGTAGTAGTGTAGTAGTGGTAGTAGTAGTAGTGGAAGTAGTAGTAGTAGTAGTAGTAGTAGTAGTAGTAGTAGTAGTAGTAGTAGTAGTAGTAGTAGTAGTAGTAGTAGTAGTAGTAGTAGTAGTAGTAGTAGTAGTAGTAGTAGTAGTAGTAGTAGTAGTAGTAGTAGTAGTAGTAGTAGTAGTAGTAGTAGTAGTAGTAGCAGTAATAGCAGTAATCAGCAAAAGTATTGGAGAATAATAGAAGTTGCAGTAATAATAATAGTAACAGCAGTAGTAGGAGCATAAGTAGTAGCAGTAGTAGGGGTAGTAAATTTTAGTTTTTTTTAGATTCTCTAGGTTCTGGCCAAAATATTTCGTTGAAAATGTTATGCAAATTAATTATTAACATTTAGAGGTTGCTCAAAACACTTGAAAATTGCGCTGTAACTACTATACTACAACGTAAAATCAAATAAATTAGGCGTATTCAAATAATTTGTCATTTTATTCTGCAAACACAAACTGAAACTTGCATAAAAACTACTTAGAAAGTCCATAAAAGTTAATAAGAAAGTCCAGCTCCACTGTGGCTTTGTTGGCGTCAGTAAAAATGTGCCTGTGCTCTTTGACACTTTTCTGAATGAAAACCAAATCATTTGCTTCAAAACTTCATGCAGAAACTTCACCAGAAACCTCTAAAACATCTCCTTTTTCTAACAAATTTCTTCCTAAATCTTCTGATGGATTCTAAAACCAAACACAGAATTGATTCGAGTTTGTCTGAAGCAGGAGTAGAGTTAGTAGAAGTGGTAAAGTAAAAGTAGCAGAAGCACAAGTAACAAGTAGTAGCATAAGTAGTAGTAGTAGTAGTAGTAGTAACTAGGGCCCGACCGATATGGATTTATTTTTGTACCAGGTCTAAACCAGAACTAAACCAGGTCTAAACTAGGACTAAACTAGGACTAAACCATGTCTAAACCAGAACTGAACCCGAGCTGAACCAGGACTAAACCAGGACTAATCCAGGTCTAAAACCAGGACTAAACCAGGACTGAACCAGGTTTAAACCAGCATTAAACCAGGACAAAACCAGGTCTAAACCAGGACTAAACCAGGACTAACCCGGACTAAACCAGAACTGAACCCGAGCTGAACCAGGACTAAACCAGGACTAATTCAGGTCTAAAACCAGGACTAAACCAGGACTGAACCAGGACTGAACCAGGTTTAAACCAGCACTAAACCAGGACTAAAACCAGGTCTAAACCAAGTCTAAACCAGGATTTAACAGGACTAAACCAGGTCTAAACCAGGACTAAACCAGGACTAAACCAGGTCTAAACCAGGACTAAACCAGGACTAAACCAGGTCTAAACCAGGACTAAACCAGGAGTAAACCAGGGACTAAACCAGGTCTAAACCAGCACTAAACCAGGACTAAACCAGGACTAAACCAGGTCTAAACCAGGTCTAAACCAGACTAAACCAGGACTAAACAGGACTAAACTAAACCAGGAAACCAGGTCTAAACCAGCACTAAACCAGGACTAAACCAAGAGTAAACAGGACTAAACCAGGACTAAATCAGAACTGAACCAGGTCTAAACCAGGACTAAACCAAGAGTAAACAAGAACTAAACCAAGTCTAAACCAGGACTAAACCAGGACTAAACCAGGACCGAACCAGATCTAAACCAGGTCTAAACCGGAGCTGTGATTTTAGCGAATTTGTATAAAGAAAAACGAAAAATCCACCACTTCAGTCCAGGTTAAAAAAGCAAATGTGAAGCACGTTAATCACATTTGTACCGAGCAAATTATAAATTTTTTTTCCCTGTAAATGCCTTAAATTACTGCCTTAGAGCAAAAAGCAACACATTATAGTAATTTGTTACTTTTATAAGACGCTACTCCCAACACTGAGCAAAAGTAGTAGTAGTAGTAGTAGTAGTAGTAGTAACATATGTAGTAGTGATACAGTAGTAATATAAATCCATTAGTCAGCAATTATTTTTTCATTCATCAACTAGTCAAACGATTATTTCTATTGTGCACTGAGAATATTTGGCCAAAATAAACCAAAATAATCAAACCAAATAAAGATTTAAATAGAGCGAGTGAACGGTTCTAAGCAGAGAAGATGTATATTTATGAGTGTATTATTTTTTATTTTTATTATTTATTATTTAGGTTTACAATTACTACAAAATTCAGCAGCACGTGTCCTGACGAGGACCAGAGGGCGGGACCACATTACACCGGTTTTAAAATCACTGCATTGGCTCCCTGTGAGTTTCAGGATCGATTTTAAAGTTCTTTTACTGGTTTTTAAATGTCTTAATGGTCTTGGGCCCTCTTATCTTTCAGAACTGCTTTTACCCTACGAACCCTCGTGGACCCTGCGCTCCTCCGGCAGCAGCTCCTGGTCATTCCCAAAGTCAGGACACACACTCACGGAGAGGAGGCGTCTTTTCAGTACTGTGGCCCTCGTCTATGGAACTGCAGCCGGAGGAGCTCAGGGCTGCAGAGAACGTTCATGTTTTTAAGAGTAGGCTCAAGACCCACCTTTTTAGCTTAACTTTTGAATGAAATGTCATATTTTTTACTTGTTTCTACTATACACATTTTAATTTATGTTTATTTATTTTAGACTTATTTTTAGGATATGCAGTGTTTCCTCTGTAGGAGCCTCTGCATCAGGAGCGGAGGTCGGCTGCAGCTGTCGGGTTCTGTCCCGTGGGCTCCTGGTGGAGGGTTGGAGCTTGGGCTTCGTCTCTCCTGGCTCCGTGGTCCTGGTGGTGGTGGACGTCTCTCTGCTCCGTTCCTGGTGGTGGAGTGGTGGACGTCTCTCTGCTCCTGTGGTGGTTCCTGGTGTGGTGGTTCCTGGTGGTGGTGGACGTCTCTCTGCTCCTGTGGTGGTTCCTGGTGGTGGTGGACGTCTCTCTGCTCCTGTGGTGGTTCCTGGTGGTGGTGGACGTCTCTCTGCTCCTGTGGTGTGGTTCCTGGTGGTGGTGGACGTCTCTCTGCTCCTGTGGGGTTCCTGGTGTGGTGGACGTCTCTGCTCCTGTGGTGGTTCCTGGTGGTGGTGGGTGGACGTCTCTCTCTCCTCTGGTGGTGGTGCTCCTGGTGGTGGTGGACGTCTCTCTGCTCCTGGTGGTGGTGGACGTCTCTCTGCGGTTCCTGTGGTGGGTTCCTGTGGTGGTTCCTGGTGGTGGTGGACGTCTCTCTGCTCCTGTGGTGGTTCCTGGTGGTGGTGGACGTCTCTCCTGTGCTCCTGGTGGTGGTGGTTCCTGGTGGTGGTGGACGTCTCTCTGCTCCTTCCCGATGTAGAAGCTCCTCTGATGATGTTTTCTCAACTGGTTCGCCTGTATTCAGCCTCACATTTTACTATGTGTCGTTTTATGTATTTTAGCAGGTTAATGTGTGTTGTGTGTGTGTGTGTGTGTGTGGGGGGGGGGTTTGGGGTTTGTGTGTCTGTGATGTTTGGTTGTGTCGAGTCGGGCAGCTGTGGGGGTTGGGTTAGTGGGTGGGTGGAAATGTGGGATTGTTTTTAATCTGTGTAAAGCACTTTGTGTTACATTTTTGTATGAAAAGTGCTTTATAAATAAAGTTTGATTGATTGATTGATTGATAAGTTTATTAGTGACAGTTTTGAGGAGGTGTTTGTGGTCTGCTCAAACTCGGACGACTAAAACTTTTAACGATCGCCGCGGCCCCATAGCTGTTACTGTCAGCCGAAATAAACTGGATTCTCTTTGCGATTACTCCCATCTGTGTGTATCTGTTTCCCGAGCCGCTTTAATGCTTTGTTTACCCCCAGAACGGCATATGACTAACAGATGTCCCGTGTAGATCTGCCAAATTCCTTCGCACCATCTTGCTTCTGTTTAAATTGGGCAAACGCGGTGCCTACGTTACCTTGCCGGGCCTCGTGTGGGATCCTTTGGCCGGTCGGATCTGCACAAAGAGAAGAGACAATAATCATCACTCAGACTGAGATCGACGCCAAGGAACATACAGGATATAAAGTTACATACAGAGCGGTTTGTTTGGGACCGAGACCGGACCAGGACCAGACCGGGCCTGAGACCGAGACCAGACCGGGACCAGACCAGGACCAGACCGGGCCTGAGACTGAGACCAGACCAGGACCAGACCGGGCCTGAGACCGGGACCAGACCGGGACCAGGTCGAGACCAGACTGGGACTGATATCAGAACTGAGACCGGGACCAGACCGAGACTGAGACCAGACCGGGACCAGAGTGGGACTGAGATCGAGACCAGACTGGGACCAGACCGGGCCTGAGACCGGGACTGAGACCGAGACCAGACCAGGACCAGGTCGGGACCAGACCGGGACTGATATCAGAACTGAGACCGGGACCAGACCGAGACTGAGACCAGACTGGGACCAGAGCGGGACTGAGATCGAGACCAGACTGGGACCAGGTCGGGACCAGACCGGGACTGAGACCAGGACTGAGATCAAAACTGAGACCGGGACCAGACCGAGACTGAGACCAGACCGGGACCAGACTGGGCCTGAGACCGGGACTGAGACCGAGACCAGACCAGGACCAGGTCGGGACCAGACTGGGACTGAGATCAAAACTGAGACCGGGACCAGACCGAGACTAAGACCAGACCGGGATCAGAGCGGGACTGAGACTGAGACCAGACCGGGACCAGACCGAGACTGAGACCGGGACTGAGACCGAGACCAGAACTGGACTAGATCGGAGCCTCAGAGCCCACGGGAGGGCCGGAGCTCGAATCTGAGGCTCGGAGTCAAAGCTCAGAGCCCGCTCTGGTCCCAGTCTGGTCCCGCTCTGGTCCCGCTCTGGTCCCAGTCTGGTCCCGCTCTGGTCCCGCTCTGGTCCCAGTCTGGTCCCGCTCTGGTCCCACTCTGGTCCCGGTCTGGTCCCGCTCTGGTCCCGGTCTGGTCCCGGACCTGGATCAGTCCTGGTTCAGTCCGTATGCAGAGCAAAAGTTCGGCATCACAGTCACAGACGTCACGTAAACGGGAAAAATTGTCCTTATGCGTTTTTTTTTTCATTTTTCATTTAAACACAAAATCTGAAAACTGAAAAAAACAATCGTTATCTGTTTTTTTCATTTTGATTTTGGAGACAAATAATGAAGAAAACTGTTTTGTTTTTTTTGTATTCTTATTTTTGGTTTTATATTGAAAAACGAATGAACGAATGATACACGAATTATTAAGTTTTAATGATTTATTTGGTTTATAAACAAAAGGAGAAGAATGAAGAAAAAAAAAACTCTGACGCAAGACTTAAACTCCATTTGTCCACCATAAAAACGAGCAAATTAACCAACTGAGCTCAAGTCCATTATGTAGTAAATCGCTTGTTTACACAGTCTTCCTGCAAATAATGTGCGGACAGGATCTCCACATGATGATGATCGTTAATGTGTTTGCTGATGATGATTCTCTCGTTGTAAAAAGGCTCACTTAAACTGCAGGGAAATTTGACACCATCGCCTCATAGTGTGAGTAAAATCTCTCAGTCGTAGAAAAGATTCTCAGGTAGAATCCACGGCAAAAGGAGAAATCCAATTTGACAACTGGACAAAAGTTTATTTGGTCGAATACGTTTCGCAGCTCATCTTGACCAATTGGATTTGTCATTTTGGAATCACTTTATAGTCAGTGTTGGGGAGTAACAGATTACATGTACCAGAGTAATCAGAGTACAAATTATGAGTAACTGTATTCAGTTACAGTTACTGTTTCAGTGAGTAGTAGTTGGATTACAGTTACTTTGTTGAAATAAATGGATTACACAGAGGGATTTTACTGTTTTCACATTTTGGGCTATATCCCTTTTTTTTTTTTTTTTTCGGTAATTCCACTCATTACCGGACACTAAACCAGGTCTGAACTAGATCTAAACCAGGTCTAAACCTTGTCTAAACCTGGTCTAAACCAGGTCTAAACCAGGTCTAAACCAGGTCTAAACCCAGGTCCAAACCCAGGTCCAAACCCCAGGTCCAAACCTGGTCTAAACCAGGTCTAAACTAGGTCTAAACTAAGTCTAAACCAGATCTAAACCAGAACTAAACCAAGACTAAACAGGTCTAAACCAGGACTAAACCAGGATTTAACAGGACTAAATCCTGCTGTGTGGACTGTGTCTCCTCTTCTATCAATAATATTTTTAATTTGGTTCAGTAAAGTCTGGGCTTTTTATTTTCTTTTAGCAGATGAAACATCTTATGTGAAGATTTCCTCGTCTTTGTTTCTCTACAGAAAATCAACTAATCCAAAGTATTCAGATTACATTACTCACTTTAAATAATTTAATGGATTACGTTACAAACTACATTTTGGGGTATGTAATCTGTAATCTGTAGGGGATTACATTTTAAAAGTCACCTTCCCAACACTGTTTATAGTCCATGTTTCTGTTGTAAATGTGCAACCACAGAAACACCGCGGCACAGAGACAGAGACTCACTAAAACATCCATCATGCACAAGATTGTTTGGTTTGACGATAAGAAGACAAAGCACTTGAAAACAATTCATATATCAGGTTTTTGATCACTTTAAATGGTCCCACATGTGACTTTTGGAGGAAGATCGGTCATTTGTTTGTCTCTATGGAGATGTTATTGTTTTTTTACAGTACTGTATGACATTAAACATTCATCTGTTTGCTAAAGAGACAATGGTCACTGCCGCCACCAAGACAAGGAAGTTACAGGTATAGATTGTTTATATAAATGGACATAGTTAAAATAGGAAGTGAGCGTGGGTGTGCTTCCGGCTCCACTGACTCTAGCTCCATTTCACTCTGTATTGAAAAAAACAAAACAAAACGTTGCCCCATTGTTTTGCGAGTCTCAAGTAAGTCTCAAGTCTTTGACCTCAAGTCCGAGTCAAGTCCCAAGTCAAAGACAAGCAAGTCCATGTCAAGTCTCGAGTCACTAGCCTGTAAGTCCAAGTCAAGTCCAAGTCGTCTGCTTTGAGCCTCAAGTCATTTCAAGTCTTTAAACCAAAGTACCAAATATAGCTTAGATTTTTGCAGTTTATAAGAATTTTAAACTAAATTGTACTTATTTATTGAAGTATTTATATAAGAGTATTTATACAAGAAATGCTATTTTTTCCTTTTTAAATGTCTGGTCAAGATCTTAGTGTGCATCATTACAGTGAGAATAGAAAGAATTCAGATTTAACGGTGCTAAATAACAGTTATTTTGTCATGAAGGATCATGTTCTCTGTAGTTCTGTCTGTTTTAGTGTATTGTACTTTATATTACTGTAGTACATTTGAGTATCACAGTACTTCATTTACATCCAAAGTAAATAAACAGAGAAGTGGGAGGAACATGTTCCAGTTTGTTTCTGTAAAATTCAGCTTTGGATTTATTAAATGTAAAGAGAAAAGTATTTTCTAAAAACATGTATATTTTTAGGGGAAGCATCGAGTCTTCTCAAGTCACAGGTCTCAAGTCCAAGTCAAGTCCAGCACCAGAGTCATTAATCTTCAAGTCCGAGTCGAGTCCCAAGTCTCAAGTCCTAAAATTAGTAACTCAAGTCTGACTCGAGTCTAAGTCAAGTCCCCATGTCTGGTGCATAATAACCCGCTCCACATGATCCAGTTATTTTAATTCACTATTTTGACCCTAAATTAAGATATGAGCATTAAAGGTTGTATGGAGGATTTTTTTCAAATTGTCAATGAAAGTTTAAAATACCAGTACAGAGACGCAGCAGCCTCGTAATTATGATGACCAAAAAAAAAAAAGAATGAAAATCTATCAACTGTGGACGTAGTGAGGCCAGATAAACATCAGCCAATAGAAAACAAGGCTACCTCATTTCCTATTGGCTGTTAGGTTGTCAATCAAACTCCCTACGTTTCTAGTGTAACTGACTCGTCGGTGCGCGGGGATTATGTAGTTTATGCAGCAGTTTTTAGAGAATTTTTCAAACTGTAGCTTCCTCGCATTCGCACAAAGTTTGTTGCGATGGCGGACGAGAATCAACGACCGGTTCGCCGTAAAAGAAAGTCAATTTTTGAGGTCGCTGAAAGAAGAGAAGGGGAAAAGGAGCCAAGACAAACTGAGGTGATTCTTGGAGATTTCTTCCAGCGATTGGACGAATGAAGCAGATGAACGGTCTAAAAACTGATGCGCTGGTCGATAAATTATTTCTAAACAGGTCACTTCAACAGTAATTCTGAACATGCACTGGATGTAAACAAGCGTGATTTCTAGAGTAAAGAGGCGGGAGGAGATGTTTCTACTGAAGGAGCGGTGGAGGAGGAAGGTGGTGTCACTCATGCACAACATTTGAAAAAGGACTGTCACTGTATGTCACTTCCCTTAAAAAAATCCTCTATACAACCTTTAATAACAAACAAATCACGCGCCTTCCTTTTCTGAGGTCTTTGATTGACAGCGTTGCTAAACAAAAAATGTTGTCTTACTGTGGAACATTCCAGGAAAAGCAATAAAATCTCTAAAAACGAAAACAGGCGGTGGCAGAAAAGTGACTCAGTTCACCTCTAAGTCTGGCCAATACTGACTTTGATGTTATTTGGTTCTTTTTTTCAGACCAAGACTTTGATCGTTGGGAGAATTAACGATAGATTTTTTTATGAATCATTAACATTTTTGTATAATAAGTATCATCATTATTATTACTATTACTAATCTGCATGAATGAACTCAACTTTACAACATATAAACATCACAACTCTAGAGCCACATCAGCCCGTTTGACATTATAATGTGTTTAATGCAGATTTGCACAAGTCTCACAGAAACGAAACTTAAAACCGCACGGATAATTTGCATAAACTAAGCGAAGAAAAAAAAAAAACGCTCTTGTGTCGCTGATGTGGTTCAGCTTCTGTGGGACTAAAGGACACGACTCAGTGGAATATGAGTGTTCTTTCTGTGACAGGGGGATGTTGATGCTGAT